CAAAAACTTACCTGTACTAAATTTCATTGGTTTAAAAAAATATATTGCTAAAATTTGATTTGAAAATAATATTATTGGGCGCCTTCTTAAAAATAAAACCTAAATTTATTATACCTTTTTCCAAAACATCATGTATAAAAAAAGTATAAAGTGCGATTTTTGAAATATCGGGACATTCCTATTCACGAAAATATATGTTTGAAAAAATTGTTTAAGTAGTAATTTCTTAAACATTGTTCCGCCAAATACTTTTCAGAAGAAATCTCTCATTTTTTAGTACTATCGACCTTTTTTAAGGTTGCATTACCATTGCACCTTGATCGCAAAGAGTCACCATAGATAGTAAAATATACGGAATTTGTGTTAATTCTGGCCCTCCCTGTATATGTTCGAGCCGCCTATACATTACAATTTAATTTGAAGCCAGCGTATAATTTAAGTTTCTCGTTTGAATTTCCTGGTGAGTGACCCGTCCTGGGAAGAAATGCCTAACTATACCAGTAATTTGCCCGCGAACCATCAATTTTCCGAAAAATGTTGCGATGATTATCTTAACAATTCCTCAGAGTCTCGTCCGGTCTCTCGGTATGCGATGCTACGAAATAAATGAAGGATTAAGTTAAAAAATGTAGTCTGCTATGTTTGGAAGTCGACCACAAAAACAAAAATTAAAAATAATAATAATTATAAGGACCATGTTACTTGGGAATAAGCTACATTTTCTTTAAATGTTTCTAGACGATCATTTATCTGTTTTCTTGTCAATTTTTAACGTAGAATCCGCTATTAAATTATAGCCACACATTTCAGTTGCACTCTGTATACGATTTGATTGAGATTTGTTTTTAATAAATTTTTCGTATTATTTTCATAGAAAATGGACAAAAAGTAATTGTTATTTTCTGGTTTGATTTTTGAGAAAAATATAATTGTGAAAACTGCATTTAGATATATTTATTATTTTAAGTGATACAGATTTTGCTGTTTCCGATTTGCAAATATATTTTTGTGTAAATATCCTGTATGTTACATAATTTGAAAGGGAATTTTAATATACAGGGTGGGCCATTAGTGTGAGAAAGTAAAATAACTCCCTTGTTACTCATAATACAGAAAAAAAGTGTATATAAAAGTTGTACAGAATCAAGAATCCTAAACTACGAGAAAATTCTATATATGGCAATATAAACAGTTTATCAATTTAGTGCGGGGTTGCCAAGTTATGTAGAAAATTCTTCGAATTTGGGAAAATACATGACCTCGAAGAAGTTGTATTAAATTTCAGCTACTAGCACTTGGAACAAAATAATTAGACAGAGTTATAGGTAAATGTTAGACAAAGGCTCCTATATTAGCTAACATCGATATTTTATACAGGGCATTTTTTACAATACGATCATTTTTAGAAAGTTTAAACTTGATTTTCTAAAATTCTTCAAATGGAACACCCAGTATTTTATTGTTCTATTTTATTTACATATCGGTCCATTTCAATTTTTATTAGGAATGTTCTATATCTAACACTGAGTTTTCTCAGAAATCCATATGTTTAAAAATATACGGGGTGTTCAATTTGTCGTGTCCCGTTTTTACTAATCGCCCTGTATGTTTCAAATTAATTTTGTCCTTTAGGCTTTTTGATTCTGTACAACTTTTATGTAAACTTTTTTCTGTATTATGAATAACAAGAGAGTTATTTTACTTTCTCACACTAATGGTCCACCCTGTACGTCAAAAATGGAAAAATATGTAGCATGTTCCGACTAAAAAATATTAATTTCTGTAGATGACAACTACGAAACCAGAAGTATAAAAACATATTCCGTAAGTCACTACGCAAAAAACTGAAACCTCTCACAAAAAAAATCACCAATGAAGAAGTTATTCAACATTACAAGTTAATACCAAAAAATTTAAAATTGTATTTGACAAACGAATCAAGATATTCAAATGCACTGTTCGTCATTCAATTTAATTCGAAAATCGACAGAAAATCTACTTTTTATCTTCGAGAAATACAAGATTCAAAATTCATTTTGTTTTTTCTCTGCTTCAAATCTTAGTACCTATTTAAGAGAAATTCTAGGGTTGTATTGAAATGGAAATATCTTGTCTTAAAAATAGTAACCGAAATTAAATACATTTATCTAATTTCCAAAATATTCGATGGCTCCGAAATTCTAGGGTTCTAAATGATGGTATTTCCCAGTATCTCTGCCATTAACTGCAAATTTTTGCCCATAATTCGTTAGGCCAGTAATCCAAGTTTCATCAATCTACGTCATTTTAAGAAGTATTTAAATGAATGTAACATTTTTTAATTTCGACACAATGTATCCGAAAACAAAGAGATTTTTATTGATTTCTGAGCATTCAGTATTAAAGTTTTGCATCATTAACAATCTCTTCTAAAATATTTGAGATGCATAGTGTTGAATCTTTTTTGTATTTTTTATGGGATGCCATTTTTCTTTTCCTCTTCAGTACTTATATTACTAAAGCGCATCTACTTTTTTCCCCCATTGCTTTGGTGCCTGCTGAATCGAAAGCGTAATAAACATTGAACTATCACCACGATCTGCAACAGACAATCCAATCGTCTTCGTTCTTTGATAAACGACACTATTAAAAAGCCAGGTATAAATCCCCGGCTACCTGTCCAATTAATGGACATCTCGTTCGGACAAACAGTGTCACTTGTCAAACCAACAAACCAATTTGTTCCGATTCGCGACATGCGGTGCCCGTGCCTCGCGCACACGGAAGCGGCCTCTATAAATAGAACACTCCGTATTAGGCGCGCGTAGATTTCAGTCACAAATTCGCGCTGCGGAAAGCAAAAAGAACTGAAAAACTGGCTCGAGGATCTGCCTGAACCCGTTAGTTACTCGTTCCGAGATGCGGTAACGGGGCTAGGCTGTTTTCCGTTTAATTTCCACCAAACGCTTATTATCTGTTAGTTGCTGTGTGTTACTGGACGGGAATATGATGCGACCGGCAGCCAGGTTTGATTTGATTATTCAGAAGAATAGCTACAAAAATAGAAAAATCAATGAACCTGACATTGATAACCAGTGTTAAGTCGTTAAATGTGATGCATTTTCACATTAAAACAATGTACTGAGGTTAATGATTAGTAGCGATCGATTAATCAATTTATTTGTTAATAACTATAATTGTATGAACACTACAACATTGTAAAATTTCAATTGATTCATTATGTCAATTTTGCAAATAATTATCCCAATGCCATATGTGATAAATACATATAAAAAACAAATTCAGTGAAGCAATAGTTGATTTATATCAAGTTGATTGTATCAATCTCTAAGGACAATATCTTTGACCAATATATTTCCTTCGTAAACTAGATGTCCATTCTAAGCTACTACCAATACCAGTTTATGAGCATTTACACTGTAAAAAAATCGGTGTGAGTGAAAGCAATAAAGGTTCTGAGTGAATCCATTGGTTGAAATTATTGAGTACATGTTCACTCAACATTGGGCATTTTGATCAGTTTACTAATTTGTAATCTTTATATTTAAACTAAACTGAGTACTTTCCCTCAAATATAGGTACTCCTTAAATAAATTCTTCACGTAAACACGTATTTGGTGCACTTGTACCTAAATCAGGGTAAATGTCCTCATTACTGAGTGAGTTTAAATATATATTAATTTCGAGTAATTTGAATGGCGCCGTGAAGATGGCACCACTTACATATTGCTTCTATAATCTCGACCATAGTTGATAGGGGCCCGTTAGATGCTCCAGAAACGCGTGATCGCCAGAAGAAGAGGCCTTAGCCGGCGGTGGTGAGTCTCAGCTGGCGGGTCTGAGCCAGGACAGAAGGAGGTCCCGCGAAGTGAATTAATTTCAACACTGTTATATCCTAATTAATCATTTATGAGTGATTTATTTTAGCACTCAATATTTAGTTATTTAAAAACCAGGTCTGAGTAAAAAATGACTCAATAATAGTTAAATTTAAATCATATTAGAGAAAAATTCTACTCTAAATTGGTTTTATATCCTCAGAATAGAGTCAAAAGTCGCTCAATTGAACAACTGATAGTTAGCAGTAACTCGGATTTGAGTAAAACTCACTCACTTCTCATGTAATAGTTTCACTCAGTTGTACTCATACTTATTGAGTAAAATTGAGTGAAATTTGAGTGAAATTTTTTTACAGTGTAGTCGTATTCTAAGTCATTTCACTCAACTTTTGAATCTGACCTACGAACCCGTTTGCAGAACCCTTACACCTTTACCTGTTTTGAATTAACCACCAAAACTCTCCACAGAGCTGCAAATTAAATTTAAAAAACCCGATAATGTAAAAAGAGCGATCGCCAAGGCAATTTCACCCCACTTTCTATTTTTTCAGCGAAAACAGTAAGAATGCTACGAAATTCGAGCTGTCGATACCGATACCGAGTTGCCGCACTAAGTCTATAATAACAACCAGATTTCACGAATGGGAAATCAACAGTCATGCATCTTCCGAATCCGGAGAGACCAGACGTCAGAATTGCAAACGAACAGCAGTACCTGAGAATTCGCGGTGCCACCCCGAAGTGTGATCGAACATCGACTCTGATCTCGCAGTTCCGTAACCAGATTCTGTAACTCTAGCCAATAGGAATACACGACACGAAATCAAGCGTATTCGTTGCCTTACGATACTTTAACACTTCATTTTCCTATTAATATAAAACAGTTTTGTTGAAACCACATAACTATGTGATAGATATGTGTATCCACTGAGTTTCTTTAGAATAATATTGTTATCAATTTCTGTAGTTATTTATATTTCCTATTTTAATCATTAATATTAATAATAATTAATATTAATAATGTTAATTGCTAATACTAATAAGTTATGATATTGGTATGAATACCAAACCGATATACATTTCGTAAATAAACAACTACACTGGAAACAAAATTTCTGAAACCGGTCCTGTTAGGAAGATACGTCCGAAATATGCACTTACCAAAGAGACGGACCTTTGTCCCAGACTTGGCGAGTCAGCAGAGCTCTCCACCTCCGACGGACAGTCCAAAAGGATTCGGGGCGTCTCCCCAGACCTGCTCCCAGGGCGCCGACCCCCCGCCTGGCTGTAGGACCTGGGGCTCTGCTCTGCCGAACTCATCGCGACATCGCGAGGTCACAAGCTCGAGGGCGACGCCACTCTGCAGAAGGTTACCATGCGCCTCAAGTCAATGTACCTGTAAAGGATGTAGAAATTAATTTGGATAAATATAACATAAGCTACAGTGTGTTCCATTTAAAATTATTAACTTAACTAAAAACTTCAAAACCAGAAGAGGTATTTAAATTATGTAAAAAGTATAGTGTAGTTCATATAAATTCTTCAATTCTGAATACAAACGTAATTTCTCTTCAGGGTGGTGTAGACAGCGCAACCAAAGAACATTTTCAATTACTGAAGCTTTAGAAAAACCATATAATGGACCAATTTTTGTAGCTATCAAAGTATGTAGCGAATATTATAAAAAGATCTCGGGTCAACACAACAGTCTAAATTTCGAAAATGTCATCGAATTTTGCATGGCACGTCGATCACGTCGATCAAGTGGAGTTCCAAAGCTTTTTTTCGGAAAAATTAGGTCTGTACCTCGCAAAATAAACCAGATACTATTAAACCGAGCTCGTTTTCGAGTTTTTCGTAACCGATTTATTGCTAAGCAATGTTTGGTAAATACAATTTTTGCGAAAAGGAGATTCCTTTAATTTGAAACAAAAATATGTCGGAATCGTAGGACTAACTCGTGTCACTCATTTTCACGAAATAATAAGTAATACCGTAAATGAAAATGATTTAAAATAAAACGTTACAAATAAAGTACTCGACGTGTTTTATGACAACAACCAGAGGCCCGATAACGAATCCACGGTCAACAGAATAGCAGTGTACTCACGTCTTCAATGCTCAAGTAGAACTCCTCTCTGTACTTCTCTTCATTCGTCAGGTCAAAATTATTCTTAAATGAACCAATCAAATCTCCTATATAAAGTAATTATAAGGTAAATGCTATCTATCCTTTGACCGCGGCAACGTTGAGTGACCCGTAAGTCCCTCCAAACCCAAGCTTGCCATCATAAAACTCGGGAATAACATAACCGGCTTAATTCATAAATAACTATTTCTAAGTTTTATGGTCTAGGTACAATTTATAAAAGGGTATTCCCTGAATAAAGAATTCTGGAATTTCCAAAGTCTTAAGGAAAAAAGACATCTCCGACAAATATTTATCTGGCTTCTGAAAATTATGAAAACATTTTTGTAGAAATATATACAAGTGGGTAAATGCTATCAAATTTTATGTGGGACATGGACTTCCTCGGATTCCAAGGTACAACCACAGCCACAGATGTCTTTGAATAATTATTCGTACAGGGTATCCCAGAAAACAGTGTGCGGCAATCTTAGTCCAAAAATGTTTTATTTAAAAAGAGGGTTCAAGTTTTACCTTCGAAATGAATTTTCATTGAACCAACATATAACATCTTATTGAAATTTGGTACACGTTACGAAGATGCAGGAAACAATAAATTGTCTTCAAATATTTCATTCCCTCCAGCGTACGGAGAGATGCGCGCGCCATATTTTTAAATATTCCCTCTGCTTATGGATATTTTTAAGATAATAACTAAATTTTGTAATTATCTAACGATTTCACACAAAAAAAATGCATTTAGTCAATTTCTTTTAAAATTGCTACATTTCGAGGAGAAAAAGAAGGTTCCATTTTGCTTCTCCGAAAAAAAAATGAAGCTTAAGGTTGACCGTGTGACCAAATTGACCGTATCTGAAAAACGAAAGATTTCGGCAGCTATATTTAAATGAACTTCTTCTGTTGTTTTAAACAGATGGGTCGATTGTTATAAAATATATTTTTGTTGTATGTGCATGTAATTCATTTAGAGGCAGAACCTGATAGGATCTCAAATAATGTTTTCCTAATCCTTTCAAACTTAACAATTCATCCATCTCCTTAAAGATACCAAAAAGAGAAGGTTCATTAATGACAGTTTATCTTCTTTTGTTTCTCAGACCTACAGTCCATTTCAAAAGCAAAATTTTAACACCCTGTAACTTTTAAATAAAGCATTTTTTAACTGAGATAAGTAGACATGTGTAAATTCAACTGTTTTTACTTTGAGTACCCAATTTTGCGGGATACCCTGTATATATTTTGTTCATATAAGATGAAGTGTTAAAGAAAAATTCTAGACTTTTTACCAAATTTAATTCTTAGTTGTCCTTCTGTATTATTTTGTGACATAAATTGTCAAAAGTGTTACACTACAACTTCTATTTTTGCGTATTACTTTAACTAATTTTTAAATTTTATTTATTGTACTTCAAGACATTTTGAATAGTATTAATATCGATAGTTTTTGGAATATATATTTTTTTTAATGTTCAATGTGAGTGGCAACTTGACTAATTACCAGCGCTTCAAAAAAATCAGCCGGGTCGTGGACAAGACCAAGGATCTACTCGTGTTTTGACCCTAACAAGTACTGCTCTAGAAAGCGGTTTTCGAGATTTCAAACTGACTTGACCAATCAGTTATTGGGAAAATATTCGAATTCATGATCTCATTGTATCTTAACCCCACAACCCCGTAGCTTCATGTCCTCGTAACCCCATAACCCCACAACTACATAACACCGTAACCCCATTACCCAGGATGTGCGAGAATGTAGAACCATGAAACTCTGTACGAACATTTAACTTACACATCAGGGGTCCGAAACTACATAACTGTCGTTTTCATAACCCCATAAGACAATAACCCCGTAACCCTGGTATGTGTGGATATATAATTACAAAACTCTGAGGAATTGAGTCTGTAGTCCTGTTGTAACTCCATGATCTCTTAACCCGGGATATGTAAGCTCCTGTATTGACTCATGATCTGGGGCATACAGATTTGAGTTCCAAAGTCACCGGGGTCACCATACAGTCAGCGATCGTAAGTTTTTGTGATCAAAATCGTTAAAATCATATGGGGTTATAGGGTTATGGGGTTATGGAGTTATGGGGTTATAAGCTTATGGGGTTATAGGGTTATGGGGTTATGACGTGATGGGACTATTAATTCTGGTATTTTTCAAATAAATTCTCGTCGGGAGTCTCGTCATGTTAGGGTCAAAATACAAATTGATCCTGGAATTCTAAATTTAGATTCGGATTAGGCTGGTCAAAAGCCCACTATTTTTTGTATCACTGTGTTATCTGTCAATTCTGAGTTCTGCCACAAATCAAAGAAATTCGTAAAAAAATGATACTATTTTTTCGCATAAAAATTACGAATCTCTAACAAGAACCAGTCTTTTACCCCTGATTTTTTCGGATCATACAAAATTCCCTGATTTTTCATAGTTTTCCAAGGACTTCCGTCGGCATCGTACATGTACATAATGTGCCTTCACAAACTGTTTACGAATTTTACTTATAACTACCTCGAACGAATCTAGCCGATCCTTCAAAGGGAGGGATAATATATGAATTATTGAGAGTCGTAACTTTGAGCAGCTTAACATGTCTAGCCCATTAATTCCTAAAACGAACAATTTGTCTTGCGTTTTTGTCCTTGCCAGTCTTATCTGTTCCTGTTTTTCCCATTTAGTAGAATGAAATCCGATGGCGTCTTCTGTTGCTGAGGTTTCCGCAATGCCATACAAATGAGCTACAAGCTTTACTCATAAAATTTAATGACTGTGGAGATTGCAGAAACGTGAGGCCAATGGAAGGCAAAAAGCGAAAATATCATATTTGAAATGTATTAGATACTAATTTGTTGACATAAATTATCGATTAATATAGCTGGGTTCCCTAGATGGAGACATTTTCTAAACGGGTATCGCTGCAAAAAGAATTCCGGTAATGTCTCAACTTATAAAAATTCATAACTGTCACTCGTAAATATTTTTTTTAATGTGTAACGAAATTTTTGTTACATNTAAATTATAAGTTGAATAAGTGTGACCAATAGGAGTACAGTAGATGGTTGAAATTGAGAAAGAAAAGATAAAATAAATAAAAATTAGTATGATCAATTAAAATGTTCGTAAAAAAATGAATTTCAAACAAAATTTAAAGAAATATAATGTAATAAAGTATATTGGAAATTGAAAATGTGATTGGTAATAAAAATTTGGATTATTAGAATTAGAATGTCATTTAAAAAAAAATAGTGGGACATGAAAAGAAAAAGAGAACTAAAAAAAATAATATAATAGGTGACAGCTGAAGTTTTGAAAATAATTTTTTTTATTTAAAAGGATGATAATTTGATTGCCAGAAAGAAACAAATGTATTCAATAAAGAAAAACCGTTTACAAGAAGGAGTAGAAGAAAACAATCTCAAGAACTAAATTATTTGAGGATTACGGACAATAGAAATTTAAGTAAGTTCAATAACAAAACAAAGTTAACTGTTATAGTCAACACAGATCTAATCCAAGTCACCGAAAGGGAATAGTAATATAGAAATATCAGCAAAGAGACAAACAACAAGGAGTTATATGACAGATGACAAGTCAGGAACAGAAGTTGTGCTAACAGGTACAGGAAAGAAATAGAGGAGATAAAGGACCGAGAAGAAAAGAAATTAGTCTATTAGACAGTGGTAAAGAGGTATAAACCCCTAATATAATACAGACTTGTGTTACGTTTAATATTTAAATTAACTGTGGTCAGTTAAAATTCAAATATAATTTTTTGTCTTTTCCTTCTCAAGATTGAGTATCTAAATTCATTAATCAGTATAATATTTTAAAATCAAAATATTAATCATCTCGGAACCTTATAGATGTAAGACTACTCACATTAGATAAAAATTTGCTTGAATCTTAAATTAACGTTTTTTTTTCTCAAACAAAGACTTTCTCTATGAACATAACAAACAAAATTTGAATTAAATTACAACTATATGCCCATGTGAGTTGGCGCCCCGACAATAAAGAAGAAAAATAGGATACAAAGAAGAAGAAGCGAAGCAGAATAAGTAAATAAACGTAAGAAAATTACCATCTCACAAGAATTTATAACAATATACATGCATATATGTATTCAAAATATTCAATTTTTATATGTTATGACTAACTAGCAGCAATCAGGAATAGAGGTATATTTGCACACATCAGCGCCGTATCAGTGCCGTG